AACAACTTAGATGAATCTCAAAATGTTTGTGCCAAGAGAAAAAGGCCAGATGAAAAAAGTACATACTACAAATCTCTGGAAAATCCAAAATAAAGTGACTGAAAGATCAATGGTTGCCCAGGAGCTCAGAGAAGGGTGGGAGAGAAGCTTTACAAACTTTTAGGGGTGATGGATATGTTCATGAACTTGGCTGTGGTGACAGTTACTCTAGTGTATACGTATGTAAAACTCATCAGACTCTCCATTTTCAATATGTACAGTTTATTGTGTGTCGATTGTACCTCAATGAAGCAGTTTTATAAATGAAAGGGCATATGAAGTTTGCAACTGATAATTAACTAGTAAAAGTGTTTTCTCCCTCCTAGTGGCACACTAATTTTCCCCTAACTTTTATTATTTGGTGGGTCTTACAGAGAAGCGAAAAACAACTGCTAAATTAACTGGCCTTTAGGAAGTACACTGTCACCTGACTTCTCCAAGGCTATTTTCACCTTAGGAAAAGAGAAACTCTCTCTCTCTCTCTCTCTCTCTCTCTCTCTCTCTCCCTCCCTCCCTCCTTCCTTCCCTCCCTCCCCTCCTTCATACCTTCCTTCACCTTAGGGAAAGAGAACCTTCCTTCCTTCCTTCCTTCCGTCCTTCCTTCCTTCCTTCCTTCCTTCCTTCCTTCCTTCCTTCCTTCTTCCCTCCCTCCCTCTCTCCCTTCCTTCCCTCCTTCCTTTCTCATTCAACAAATATTTATTCAGCACCTAAATATCAGGCATTATTCTAGACACTGTAAAGTCATAGAGGATATAAGCAAAAACTCTTGCTCTCATGGAGCTAACATTTGAGTGGGAGAATACAGACAATTAAAAAAGTAAGTACAATAGATGGTATGTTGTTTGAGAAGAATTATTATGGGGGAAATATAAGGCAGAAAATGGAGGGTCTGGCCAAGAAAAAGGAGTAAACTCTGCTTTTCATGAGGAAGTCACAGAAATAATCATGGAAAAGACAACATTTAAGTGACGATCTAAAGAGGGCGAGGGGTCAGCCACGCAGACAACTGGGGAATGAGTATCACAGACAGAAGAACTAGCAAGTGCAAAATCTCTGGGGCAGAAATGTGCTGGCTTCTGGGGATACAGTGAGAAGTCCAGTGTGGACTGGTGAGAAGCAAGCAAGGAGGAAAGTAATGAGATTATGTCAGAAATGATAGGGAAAGATCATAAAGAGGCTGGTGAGCCATTACTGATTTTGACTCTGAGTGAGAAAGGAAGCCATGGAGGCTTGAAGAGGAGACTGGGTGGGGGAGGGGCAGAGGCTGGGTTGGAGCAAGGGAAGGTGGGGAAGGGTAGAAGCAAGGAGGGTATTTAGTATGGGGCTACTACAGTAAGTCAAGCAAAAGATGATGGTGGCTTGGTCCAGGAGGTAGAAAAAAGACTTGCTTACAGTCATGAATGAAGTAGGAAGAAGATGGGAGTCAGGGATTTTGGCAAGAATAACCTGAAGGATGAAGGGACCAAAGCTGAAATGTGGAAAATTGTGATGAAATACTCTTAGGGGGAAGATCAAAAGTTCGATTTTGTATGAATTGTGTTTGAGGTGCCAGTAAAAAACAAAACAAAACAAAACAAAACAAAACAGGGGCGCCTGGGTGGCGCAGTCGGTTGGCCGTCCGACTTCAGCCAGGTCACGATCTCGCGGTCCGTGAGTTCGAGCCCCGCGTCGGGCTCTGGGCTGATGGCTCAGAGCCTGGAGCCTGTTTCCGATTCTGTGTCTCCCTCTCTCTCTGCCCCTCCCCCGTTCATGCTCTGTCTCTCTCTGTCCCAAAAATAAAAATAAAAACGTTGAAAACAAAAAAAACAAAACAAAACAAAAAAAACCCAAAACACCTCCTTTAATGGGCTTAGTAAGGAAGAACAGAAAACAAGGGGGCTCATTTGAAAATGAAATGAGGTCAAGAGTGATCACTATTAAAAGAGAAACCTAGCATTCTAGCTAGGTGCTGGTAAAAGCCTGTGGCTACAGTGATGCAGAAGAATGGGTAGACACATTTAGGAGGTGAAAATTAACAATGCTTGGTTCAGTGCTATAAGCAAACAAATCTAGGATAAAATACTAAGGTAAAACTCAGAAACCGTCATGGTTTGCTAAATTTGTTCAGAAAGCAAAAAAGGAAATGCAATTAATTCTTGATAATTCTGGAGCGCCTGGGTTGCTCAGTCAGTTAAGCATCCGACTCTGGATTTCGGCTCCATGATCTCATGCGGCTCATGAGTTTAAAACCCAGCATCGGGCTCTGTGCTGATAGCTTGCCCAGCTGTTTGAGATTCTCTGCCCCTCCCTTAAGCACACACGCACTCACATATGCCCCCACCCATCAACACAAATAAAATAAAATAAAATAAAATAAAATAAAATAAAATAAAATAAAATAAA